TGATGGTCATGAATGTAGCTTGCGGCAACAGAGTGACTGAGATGGCTGGCAGATGTTCAGGATGTGTGTGTGCGTGTGTGTGTTTGCACACGCATGCACACAAGGTGGATTTGGTTTAGTCCTGCACCGCCCCATTCATCTGGATGCAAATTTCTGAATTCACTTGGTGTTTTTCGAATGAATTTCACGTGACTCTCAAAGTATTCCTTAAAACAGCAATGGATTGAAACAGACTCACACTTTTAATACAATTGCTACATTAGAACTGATCATATTTTCTCCTGCTAGAAGCGATGCCCCTTGTTCTGGGACCTGGGTTCTCAAAGCAGCTGGGGTCTCATTCCTTCATTCAGTAGRTAATCACAGTGCAGGTGCTGTGTGAGGCTGAGGATGTGGCAAGGAGTAAAAGCCATTCTCCTCCTTTAAGGAGAGGGGAATAAACACATCAGGGTTCAGGATCACACAGTCCTGGGGGACGAATCGCCAGCACAAGTAAATACAAAGGATGGAGCAGACAACCACCAGGACCAATCAAGAAGGGCTTCCCAGAGAGCYGACAGTTAGTCCTCTCTGGGATGAGATGTGGAGAAGGGAAGAGCTTTTCAGGCAGAGCAAAGAGTGTAAGCAAAGCACAGAGGCAGGGCAGGCAGGGCTATTTGAAGCGGGGCCGGTGATCTCTCTTGGCTGTATGGGATGTGGCAAGAGATGATGCACATAAGACAAGTTGTAAAGTCCTGATTTTACCAGTTTTAGATTTCTAAGCAGAGCAGCGACTTGGTATGGTTTTGTTTTAGAAAGAAATCCCAGGCCATAGTGGGGTGAAGGGCATCCTGGAGATGTGTACTGGCCCAGGAGGGCAATGCAGGGAAAGCTGGCTCTTTGGAACCATAGGCTTGGTCTATGCTTTTGACACTTCTGGTCAGTCATATTGGATAGAAACTGGACAATCTGGGTCTGTCCCCTATGCTATTAGGAATTTAGCAACCACCCAACCCCCATGGAGCTGAGGCCCAGGAATAGGGGAAAGTGGATGACCTCAGCAGGGCCTCAGGAAAGTCTCCCTGCTCCACCCAGGATGCTTTTTCCTTCTGGACACACTTGCTGTGGTTCACTGGGGACAGGGTCAATTAGAGGCTTGAGTGAGGGAGTGGAGGGTGTGGGCCACCTTCTGGCATGGTCATTTTTCCTTCGGGTGCTCTGTGGCTGATTACCTGGCATTTTTGGCAAGTCGAGGCTGGTCCAGAGCCCTGTCATATCTTCAATTTCAGAGCTTGCCATGGTGAAGGGAAGAGTCATTCCCCTTCTTAGCAATGTGCCTGCATGACAGGCACTCAGTAAGCTTTTGTGATCCCAGCTTTCCAAAAAGTGTCTTAAAGACAATCTGACAGTAGGAGGATCTGTTGTGTTTTCAGCCACAATTATATGCCAAGTATGGCCTGGGTGCTTTCACATCTATTAATTCTGTCTTCTTCGCAGTTAATCTCACGGGTGGATGTTGTAGACAGTAACGAAACTGAAGCTCAGGGAGGCTAAATAACCTTCCCAAGGTCACGCAGCTATTACACGATGGAGCCAGGATTCAAACCCAGGTCACCTGGCTCCACTGTGCACTCCACTTTTATTCTCATTTCAAATGTTCTTCTGAATTTGTGAAATTTTACTTGGCTTCTCCTTCCTCTAACAAGAGCACCTATTTCTATTACGTCACCCTACTAAAAAAGAGGGCTGACTGGGTGCAGCAGYACTTTCAGGGTCCAGTGAGGGTCCAAATCCCTGTAAGAGGAGCATCAGTAGAAAAGGATGCAGGTAGATCTGGAGTTGAGGAGCAGCCCCTCTACTCCCCCCACCACCTATCTCCCACCATACTGCAGTGACAGTGGCCCCCTTCCTGCAGTGGGCATTCCCTTGGCTTGTAGGTGAGGAAGCTGGAGCTTACCCACAGAACAAGTGGCAAAGCTGTGATCCAAACAGGGATCCCCCTAACTCCCAGCCAAGACTCTATCCCTGAGCCAGAAATTTTCAAAGGAAGGTTCAGAGGCACCTCAGTCTCCCAGAGCCGCTCCCAGGTTGTGTAGCTTGTGTAACAAAATTCCACTGGGGAAGAAAAAGTATGTAGCCTGAAGCAGCCTTGGCCGAGCTGCCTGGACTCTTTAACAAATGGCTCTGGACTCTCTCCTGCCATACTCCCTTCTAAAGAAGGCCTTTGTTTCCTCTAGATATCCTTGGTTAATTATTTTTAAATAAATAATTGTGTAGATGGTGRCAGGGGAGAAGCCTCACTCTGACCCATATTTGATCATCAGAGGACTGGCCATTTTCCTTCAGCCAAATTAAATAGGCTAAATCCAGAGACTGTTTGACTTGAGACCAAATCGATGACGGGGACAGGCTGGGAGGTGAACGCACACCTGACTCCCAGCGTTATCACCATTCTCTCCGGAGCAGAGCATCTTGGGGAGGTAAATAGCTGGTCAGGGAGTCAGGAGGGAAACACAGTGAATTCCAGTTCCTCTGAGAGAAAAGAACAACAGGGCAGAGGCCAGGCCTCCTCCCAAGTTGCTTCCAGGGCAGGACATCAGTGGTTCTGCCTAAGCACGATCCTTGGGGGAGACAGTTGCATTCACTACTTAGAATCTGCCCCCATGTTGTCTAGAATTCTAGATTCATAGGACAAATGTCAGGTCCATCCTGATACCAGCTCCCTCCCCCCAGCATCCCCACCCGCAGTTGCCATGAATTGGAGATTAAGCTAGGAGCTGTAGAAATGTTATCTCTAATCCCAAAATATCCCTGTTCATGGKTGGGKGSGGGGTGTTGTGGCTCAGTGGTAGAGCACTTGCCTAGCCTRTGAGAGGCACTGGGTTCGATTCTCAGCACCACATGTAAAATAAAGAAAGAAAACAAAAGTCCATCAACATCTAAAAAAATTAATTTTAATAGTTCTGTTAAGGCAGTATTCTCTTCATTTTAGGAAAGGAAGCTAAGACACGGAGAGGGAAAGCAATGTTCCTATGATCACACACGGTGTGTGATTAAGAGCAAAGGCAAGATTTGAACCTGAGTTGGTCTAGTTCCAGAACCTACAGTCTTCCCACTGACCCTTCTTGCCAGAAAATCTGTCTTTTTATGGATTGGAAATCTTCAGTGTTCACGAGGTTCACATTTCTTTCTTTTTCTATCCATGACTCTTTGAACTGTTGGCAAATCCTGCTGTAACTRGGTGGCCAGTGTAAGTGGAGAAAAAGGACCCAATTTAATCCAATGGGATGGAATTGAAGGTGGTGAGTCCTTAGAGGACTGCAGACAGGTACAGAAGAAGACAGGACTGGGCAGGGTCTGTTGATGTGGAGAGATAGAGGCCTTTCCTCTTTTAACTTCAGGGCTCCTGTTCTTAGGGGGGTAAAAAAGTGTAGTGCCCTGGACCAGAGGCCATTCCAGTGCCAAACTCACCCCCATAGCGGCCTTTGAATTGAAGGATGAGGGGGAAAAAAACAATAGGAAAAGCCTGCAGAGCAAAGCATCAAGCCACTTCCTAGCCAAACAAGTTGCTTTGGAAGGTTAGAACCTGCTTTAGCATTTGTTTTTGGTTTTTTCCCCCTAATCCTCTTAAACTCTAGGTCAAACTAGCCTTGGGTCATATCCTTAGGAGGATCCAGGGAAAACTGGCTTGAGTCTCTTCTTAAGTTTTAGATTAGTGAATTCAAGGCTACTGGCTATGACAGCTTGCCAGAGGGGACTCAGTAGCCTCCCCTGGAAGGTGGGACTCTGCTTGGGACAGGAGGCAGGGCAGGGTCAACAGCCACAGAATTTGTATACAGGGATGGTTCATCTTGGAACACTGGGCAAGGAAAAGGATGGCCCAAGAGTTGGCCCGCTTCTTCAAATGATTCCAAGCCTAWAGCATTTGGTCTCCCTCCCTTGCAAAAAAGGACCCCCTCCCTCCCAAACCTTTTCGTCAAATCGAAAACAAAATACAAARTACATTGTCTAGGAGGGAGACATTGGAGGAGAGATGCCCTCAAGGACCCCCAACCTTGTCCTTGGCTATTTTATGGAGACTTCAAGCAGGACTTGCTTCTGCAAACTGGCCCCGGGTTCTTTGTCCTTCTGCTTCCTTCAGTTGCCTGGTCTCTGTCCAGCACTTGCCCTTTCCTGAGAGCAGACCTCCTTTTTGATTCCTAAGGAGGGTCAGAGCAGTGAGGGTGAGATACACTTGACTCTCCAGTGGTTTACTAAGCGTTCACCTCCTGCCCACGTGTGTTGCCTGCCTCACCTCTGCAGACACACCTTTCCCTGGGCCCGGGAAGTCAGACAAAGGGGACCTATCAAAGGAATGTAGGTTCCAGGGCCAAAGATGACTAATTATAACCCCATCCATGCCCTGCTCTTCCTGTGTCCCCTGGTCTCTAGGGCTCAGCCAAAAAGTGGTAGACAGAGACCAATGCCTGAGCTGTGGCTCCTATAGAGGTCACTGGACAAGTGCCTCTTCTTTGTCAAATGGTCTACTCATACTTTGTAATTCCATATAGCCAAGAGACACCAGGAAAGCATTTCTAGAAGGTATATTGAAGAACAGAAGAAATACTCCAGCCAGGATGAGAAGGCTGATCTCGGCCTCCAAATCCAAACAAAACAAAAAACAAAAAAGCCAAAAAACTATGCTAAAGCAATAACAAGCAGGATTCATTCAGTCTTTGATTCATTCAGCAGAAGTTTACAGATGGCTACCAAGTAGCAAGACTCTGGATATATATCCTATTCTCATGGAGCTTACATTCTAGAATTAAAGTAGAGGCATGCTATTCTTGTTCCAAAGACAACTGGTAGATGTGTGTGTGTGTGTGTGTGTGTGTGTGTGTGTGTGTGTGTGTGTGTTCAGGGGAGGAGAAGGCAAGTTTGACTTCTTGTCATCCACCCCTGAAAACAAGGGGAGCTGAGTCAGTATTCTGGGGCCCCTGGTGACACTAATGTTCCCTATTGGGTCTGTTGTTGTTTTGCAGGAGTACGCTACAGCCAGCAGGGAAGCAATGAGGTCACTTCCTCTTCAACAATCAGTCACCATGGCAACAGTGCCATGGTGACCAGCCAGTCAGTTTTACAGCAAGTCTCCCCAGCCAGCCTGGACCCCGGCCACAATCTCCTCTCACCTGATGGTAAAATGGTGAGTACACCTGGGCCATTGTAGCTCTGGAGCTGATAAGATAAGAGGCAAAACAAACACAACTTCTCACAAGGCCTGCCTCAAACAATGAACCATTGTAACCCCACAGGGGAAAATGGGGGCTGTCCAGAGCTGGAACGGAAAGGTAGAGCTGGTGACCTAGCCTTTGGCGGGGAGAAGAGGTGTTCGGTTTGAACCCAGCCAATAAATCTGACAGAGCTCTGCTCTCATTTTATTGATTGAATGCCTCATAAAGGAGCAAGCCGGGTGGGACGCTGTTTGTTTTGGGGCTGCCAATGACATTTGTGTTGATAAAATGTTCATTCATCCCTCCCCCCCAAGGCCTCCAGAGCCAGTGTTTTAACCCAGAAAGCACCTCACTTTGAAGCAAGCCCTCTCTTTACCATCCTCCTGGGTACTGGTGAGGAGAGTCATTAGCAAGTCAGGATTTAGTGAATAGCAGGAGATGGAAGAAGTTTCTGGAACTGAGATTCTGAAGGACACGCATGTCCTATCTGTGAAGATGGAAGCACAAAATGGCAGGTGGGGTGGGGCGGTCACTTGGAGCAAGAAAGGCGGACTTTGAAGTTACAATTACCTGCATTCAGTTACAGCGCTTTAATAGTGGCATAGCCTTGGGCAGGTTAACTGAATCATACCTTCGGTCTCTTTTCCTCATCTATAAAATGGGGGCAATAGCAATAGGGTTGTTGTGGGGAGCATAACAACACGTGCAATATTTAGCAACAGCATTCAACACAGTCTAGATTTAATACGTGGCAGTGTTTCTGTTATGTTAAGGTTGATGTTATTCTCATTAAATGAAATTTTCTGTAACTAGACCCAGAGCCCCACACCCAGATGTGAGTTCAGCCAGCCTACTTGGTAAAGGAATGGATAATTTGAATTTTTCAAGGTTCTGATCCTGTGGCAACACAGGGCAGGGGAGAGCGACTTGTGAGACAACAGAGGTATTTCGACACTAGTGAGGGTAGGAAGTGGAAAACTCTATTCTTTGGGTCATGCTCTGTGTTTCTCCGGGAGGGAGGAGCTGCAGGTTCCTGACTTCCCCGGGGGGAGGTGGAGCTGCACACATTCCCGCAAGGCATCTGACCTGGAGGCCAGTGGGGGCCTGAATGGGGAGAGGGCCATAGGGAGCAGATGCCATTTTAGACCTTGACGTGGGTGCTGTGTAGGCAACACAGGAATAGTGAGTCACAGGTGATCAAGTCCCAGCTCCCTGGAGGAAAAACAAAGTGTAGTTTCTGGGGGAGAGCTGGCCCAGCCAACTCCAGTTTCAGGGGACCTGAGCTGGTCTCCCTGGTGAAGGGCAGTGGGGAGGGAAGGGGATCCTTGCAAACCAAAAAAGGAAAGGACACCCCAGTGGGAGGCATTTTGCAGCCCTCTTGCCCTTCCCCCATCCCTTAAGAAAGATCCTTCTTCCTGAAGAACAATTTGTGTTTAGCCACCTCATGAGAGACACGGGAAAGTCTTTATGATTTCTCAAGAGGCACGTCAAGACCCAAACAAATTAGAGTTAAGCATTACCCAGGCTTCCCTAGAAAAAGGAAGAGGTCTTCACTTTTCAGTGGATAAACTCTTCCAAGGCCCAGGCTGGGGATGCAGTTCTGGGGTATAGCGCTTGCTTGGTGGTGAGAAGCCTGGGGCTCCATCAATCCCCAGCACCACCAAAAGAAAAGAAAAACCAAGTCTCAGCTCTTACAGCTTAAAAGTCCTTGGGGTTTCCCTTGGAGCTCTCCCACTCTCCACTCTTCCTTCTAAGAGGCCAGCTGCCTCGCCCAGGTCCAAGCTGCTCCAAATGCAGCCTGCAGACACTTTTTCTTCCCTTCCTGTTCCATGGTGCCCCACTGGGCAGCGATTATTGGATTGATGATTGACCAAGATAGCGCTCCACACTGTTAGCAAACATCTGGAAGCTTGTTGGCAGGGACCAGATTTTCCCCTGTCTCCAGCACTCTGGCTCTTATGCTATGTCACTATCACTGGACACCCCAAATCAAGAGCCTGTTCCCTGTTAATATATAACAAGTCCATCACAGATCTTGGCCCACCAAAGTAAGAGTAGAATATGGTTCAAAAGGAACACAGGTAAGGGGACCCACATGTCCAAGTCTTGTCTCTCATGTACCAGCAGAAGGGTGGAAAAGTGCTTAACCTCAGTTTCTTCATCTGTTAAATGTGGGATAATAGGGCCTACGTCATAGGGTTGGTGCAAAGATTGCTTACAGCTCTGTTCTAGGAATGACAGTTTCTGTGTCTAACTTTCAATAGGACACACCTTTCAAATCTGCCTCCAGGGATCGGTTTTAGAAATAATGCGATCTATTTGAGCTTTCTTTTGCATTGTTGGCCCCCCACACCTTCTTACCAAAATGATATGCACTGACAAAAAGCTGGCCAGGTTTAGGGTTGAAATCTGTGTGTGTTGAACTTAAAAAAAAAAAAAAAAAAAAAAAAAAAGCACATACTGGATACTTTCACAGTATCAGGCAATATGGCCCAAGGTTGAAAAGGTCAGGCCTGAGAGGCAGATTATCTGCTTTCAACCCCATTCTACCCACTTGGACACATTTCTTAACTTCTCTAAACTTCAATTTCCTTGTCTACAAAATAGGGGTAATAATACCACCCACATAGGTGGTAGGCATGTGAAGAAATTGGCTCAGGGAAAGGACTGTCAATGGCAGCATTATATAACTCAGCTCTCCAAATTGTCATGTTAGGGTCACCATGATATCCTTGGCAGTTCTCTGGCTTCTCTCAGTCTTTGAGCAAATGAAAAGTAGTAGTCACCTTTTGGAGTAAGAAGTAACTTGACCAAGGTTACTCAAACAATAGTGAGTGGAAAGGATTCAAACTCCAGCAAAACTAGGTTTGAATTCTGGCTTCCTCTCTTACTTATCAGGTGACATAGAATTAGTCTCAACTCTTCTGAGGATCTGTTTCTTGATCTGTAAGGCAGGGACAATAATAATAATAATGCCTGGGTCACTATTGAGAACAACAAGTAAAAGCAAGTAACAAGCTCTAAAGCTATACATATTTAAATTGTTTTTAATCATTGGCATCCACTCGACTGTTGCACCATCTAAACCAAATGTCGAAATGGCAGTAAGATGACTGTCACTTCATTGACTTTCTCCAATGGACTCTATTACCCAAGGGATTGAGTCTGAGAGCAGGTTACCAATTTTTTTTTTTTTTTTTTTTTTTATGACTCTGACATTTTGAAAAACAAGTCCAGCAAACAGGCTGGTTCTCTCTTGTTTGATGTGGTTGGAATTCCTTCTTGGTCATGTGACTTCTAACTCATTTATTGATGCTCATTTTAAAAACACAAACAAACCTGTTTGGGTTTTTTCATTCTTTTTTAAAATTAACCTTGGAAACTATGGATTTGACCAGAAGGGCAGGGCCAGAGATCGCGTCTTACACCTGAGCACTGATTTGAGACCCATAATCTGGAAGAGCTYTGGGTAGAAAAAGAAGAAGGGAAGCTAAATTGCTCAGACACATGATGTATCCTAAGCCTAAAGCATCTCCCAGGGTTCCTGACGCTCTTCACAACATCTGAGCTTGTTCAGAATGAGGGGAAACAATCCTTTCCTAATAACAAATTTAGAAATTATTTTTAAACTATAAATAGCAAACTATCGTGAAAAAAGTGTGTGTATTAAACTGATAACTCCATTCTAATCAATAATAATTAATGGGAACATTAAAAACATATCTGATAACATCAGGATCAAAACAAGCACACCTATTACAGTTGTTTTTGTTTAATACTTTTCAGGAAGTTCTAACCGACAGACATGTAGAAGCGTTTGTTCTAGCAAGGAAGAGCCTCTGTTAACATTTTTTATTGCTTTTTTCTTTTTGTTGTTGTTGTTTTACTTGTAAATGAAACAATGCCTTTCTTTCTTTCTTTCTTTACTTATTTATTTATTTTTATATGGTGCTGAGGACTGAACTCAGTGCCTCACAGATGCTAGGCAAATGCTCTACCACTAGAGTTATAACCCCAGCCCTCTCTGTTAACATTTTGAGCTTGTGATGCAATTATACACTTGGAAAAAAAAATATATGAGGGAAAAATATTGGTAGGAACAAGTAAAAGGATTCAATTAAGTGGCTGAGATTAAAGTAAACAAGCAAGAATCAGAGTAGGTTTTCCTTACTGTCATCAGAATATAATGGAGAAACAAAATGGGGAGCTTGCTTAGTAGCTTGTCATTACAATATTAGCCGCTTGACAGGAGGGAAGGAAGAAAGGAAGGAAGAAAAAAAATGTATAGTGAAGAGTTGGGAGGAAAAAAAACCCCCAGAATTATCCAATAATGTTTTAGCTCCCCCAATCCTTAGTAACAATTATGGGGGGAGGGGGAGGGGTACCCCACATAACAGATAAGAACTTGGGTTTTAGGGTCAGACAGACCTGGGCTTGAATAAAAGGGGTGCCGTTTACTAGTTACAGAATCTTAACAAGATACATATCTACTCTGAGTCTCAATTTTTCATCCATGAAATGGGAAGGACAGAAGTATCCTMCTGGGATTGTAGTGGGGTCTGGACTCAGGGACAGTTTCCCTGTGCTCCTGCCTGGTTCCTGAATACTCTCTCCAGGAAACCCCAGGGCATTTCTTGAGCTGTTTTTGGCGTTGTGTCTCTACACCCATAATGTAGAAGGCAGAAGGCAGAACAGAGGGTGCACACAAAGTGAGCTGGGGACACATAAGCAGGATTTCTGAAGCAAAAGAAACGTGCAAAGATGATCAACAARTGCAAACCCCACGAGGGCAGCAGCCTTGCCGGTTTTACTTGCTACCCTATTCTCAGCCCCTAGAGTATCTGTCCCACAGTAGGTGCTTCATACTCATTGAGTGAATGGATGAATGATCGAGTTAGCTGTGCCAAGGAATTGCTAAGTCCTGTCATTCTGGAAACTGCCCTCAGTATTTCCAGTTGCACTCATGCTACTCTTGTTTATCCTCTCCAGCAGATAGCAGTCTCAGGAGGAGGTTTGCCCCCGGTCAGCACCTTGACGAACATCCACAGCCTGTCCCACCACAATCCCCAGCAATCTCAAAACCTCATCATGACCCCACTGTCCGGAGTCATGGCCATTGCACAAAGTAAGTTCTCTTCTTGGTCAGAAAACTTGGGGCCAGGGAGAAGAAGAATGGGAAGCAAATCAACATGATTTTTAAAAAGGACCATAGGCACTCCCCTTTGTATCTAACTTCTTTAGTTCCTTTTCTCTCTCCTTAAYAATATTCATATTGTTTACTTCAAAGCGAGAGGAAAATTTTGGAATGGATTTGAATCCTGATCACTAGCTGGACGGCACAGGTCAAATCATTGCACTTTATGAGGTTTAATTTCCTCATCTATAAAGTGAGTTGTTGAAGCCATCAAATGGCAGTGAATGCTGACATGCTTGTAAATCTATAAAGCATGAATATGTATAATGTCACAGCTTATGTATGTGGCATAGTTTTCATGCAATTCTTTGTGTTGGTGGGGATGGAGCAAGAATAGGAAATTTTATGTGGAGCCAAGACCTCTTTATAACTAAAGTTGAACATACATGGGGAGGATCCAGAGGGACACTGTCACATTTATGTGTCTGAGCTTTGGAAACTTTAAAGAGAAATAGGTAATTTAGGCACATGCCTAAAGACAGAGAAATGTACCAGTTCCTTTCAGCACCAGGAGCTCCCGTTCTAATACAGGCTGCTTCCCATCACAGACCGGCCATTCTTGTCCATAGGGAGTCAGAAGCAGGCTGTGGCTGTGGATATCTCTGAGGAGTTTTCATGGTGACAAGTGTTCTGTGTATTCGTAGACTCACTGGGACAGCTCAGGGCAAGTCACTGATTCTCAAAACCACCATGGTGACCCTTAGAAGTATTCTGAGATGACTCGGGAGAGATCTAAGGGTGACACATTGGTCATCTTTTACTTCACTCTGTATTGCCCTGTGTCCTCTTGGCCATTCTTAGGTCTATTGTCCATGTGAACCACCTCTTTGTTTGCTTCCTGAATTTTTCTTTCCTTCCCTCATCTCTCCCTAAACTGGCTCTCAGATTTTAGGATCACTCGGAACTGGGATCACTTCCTAAGGGAATGACTTACATGTCCTTTGAGGGCAGAACAGGGCCCTCAGGAGGCACATAGATTTATTGACTGAGTTTGACTGCTGGGAAATCAATACATTCTGTGTTGATTTATGCAGAAGGAGAATGGGAATGGAGAAGCCTTTAGAAAACTTGCAAACTAAAAAGTTATTTAAACTTTACTCTCTTTTCACAAACCCTCTGGTATGTGCGTGGACAATGATAACCAAATTAACACCAGGGTTTGGATTGAGAATGAGATAGGATACCTGAAACCAGCTTGCTTGCCCTCTAAAAGATTTAACTAAAAAACCCATGGGTAAGATACGCACTTCCATACTTCTGTAACCAAAATAATACACCAGTGTTCCACTTGCCTTCCTTCTTCCCATGTCAAGCTTTGGCTGACATACACAGTTGTATATATTATTTTGGGTACAATCTGAACTAAAGTTTTCTACAGAGCCATTGCATATTTTTCAGTTTTGTTCTTCTAAATCTCCTCTGCCATACTTCTCTGTCTTCCCACAATGTTCTCTGATAGCAGGTGGGCAGCACTGGAAGGTACATTAGATGGGTGGGTGTGCATGTGTACTCGGGGCACTCAGTGTGAAGAATGGCGAGGATCAGCAGCAGACTTCTGCAGAGACACAATGGTCCCACCCCAAGGAGTATCAGATGAAGAGCCAGTTGCAGAAATTCTCATTGAGCCAACACTCAAATGTTGTTGAGTAGGGAGGCTGTGTCTGGGGATAAGAGGACTCAGGATACAGGATCTGTCCATGCCAACTCCTCATTCTCTATTGTCCACTGGACTGCTTCCAGCAGAAGCTGCTTAAGCAGGAATCTGTGCCCAGAAAATGGATGAAAATATCAAGAGTCACACTGCAGGAACTAGAATGACATCAGAGGCTCTCCATCCTGGAACTGAGGCACACCAGGATCGCAGACTCTGTGGAAAATAAGATTCCTAGGCCCCACCTCTGAAGGTTCTGAGTCATTAAGCTTGGGCAGGGCTCAGGAATGTATATTTCTTTTTTTCCCCATTTTTTTTCTTTTTTTTTTCCTTTTTCAGTTCTGGCAGCGGGGGGTGGGGGGGTGGGGGGTGGGGGGCACCTCACACATGCTAAGCAAGTGCTGTACCATTGACTTACTTCTCCAACTCCTGGAAGGTATATTTCTTAAAACAGAGCCCCCAAAAGGCTCTGAAGCTCAGGAAAGTTTTAGAACTATGCCCTCAAATATCAACCATAGTAAACAGATGAATTTGCTTTTTCTGGCCAGAGATTTCCTCCCACAAGAGCAGTAGCCATGGACTCCTGGAAAAATAGCCAATCTGTGGGGCTTCCTGGGAGACTGAGACCACAAGTAGGGGTTGGCATAGTGAAAAAAGATACCAGAGTTTCAGGTGATAGGCTGGCTTGGGGACAAACTGACCCCGCCCCAGTCAATTGGAGATGGTGCTATTCTGATGATGATCAGAGGTCCCACCCCCACCTCCACCCAGGAGAGTCAAGAGGAAGATTACTCCCCCTTCCTTTCTGTTCAGGGGTCTTAGCTTTTAGGTTTCTGATAACCATATCAGCTAAAGCTCTGAGTAAGCAATTGTTGAGGACTTTGTGCTATCTCCACGGAGGACTTCCCACAAGGCTACTTATGAAACCATCTCGAATTCAGGAAAGGCTCTCTAGGTGTCCTTTCTGAATCTAGACCTTTTTTCTGGATTTCTTTCTTCAATCCCATTCTTCCCCTTACTTCACTGAAAGCATGAACAAAGGAACTTTAATCCAAGAAAGAGGTTTGTGTGTCTTCTCTTGTCCCCACTCCAGCCCTGCCTCAGCTGTCTTCCCCAGAGTTCTGCCCAGGGAGTAAGCTACAGAGTGCATACCAGGGGACCCAGTCCTGCTCCAGGTCCTAAAGAGGTCTCAGGATATCGACACAGTCCCAAGCCACAGAGGCCCTCATACCTCCAGAACAGAAAGATGGCAAGACCCACTGCCACTGTGAGGGCTGACCTTTGACTTACTACTTCCTCCTTCCCAAACCTGGAACTTTTGATACCCACAAGCCCTGTGCAGACAGTTAGGATATACCTATTTCATAGACCCACTGTGTTCCAGTGCTTTCCTCCGGCTCTGCTATAGTCAAGAGAGTTGTCACTTGACTTCCCTCTGGGTCTTTGCATAGTCTGCTATATAGGGTCTTCAGACCTTTATTTTGTTTTGAATCAAAATGTGGGTCCCTACACACCACTGCCCTCTACTGGAAAGACAAATCTGGGCAATAATCCATGACCTAGAATGACCAAGACAAGCATTTTTTTTTCACAGTCCAGCATGGGTGGAGCAGGCAAATAGAGTCAACTTTCCCGGGTTTCTGGTAACCTCAAGGGAGCTGAGTTGGGGAGTTTCACAGGATTTGGGGAGTTTCTCCAGCTCCAGTCAGATTGGTTTCATGCTTGTCTTCATTCCACAACCCACTGTGGAATTTGAACAAGGAAAATCATCTCTCCAAGTCTCAGTTTCCTTGTCCACAAAGTCGCCTCCCATGCAGTCTCTTACCTAACAGGCTCATCCTGCATACATTGAGCAGGAGTTCCGTCAATGATGGTTGTCATGTGGTCACCTCTTCTCATCCCTGAAGCCATCTCTGACCTTTCTCTCTTGCCCCCACAGGCCTCAACACCTCCCAAGCACAGARCGTCCCAGTTATCAACAGTGTGGCCAGCAGCCTGGCAGCCCTGCAGCCCGTCCAGTTCTCCCAGCAGCTGCACAGCCCTCACCAGCAGCCCCTCATGCAGCAGAGCCCCGGCAGCCACATGGCCCAGCAACCTTTCATGGCTGCTGTGACTCAGCTGCAGAACTCACACAGTAAGGACACAAGAGTGATGGGGGAGGAGGCACACCCCGATCACTTTCCTCTTTGGGTCGTGACTTTCTTGGAAGGTTATTGGCTTGGTCACTTTTCCTTACCCATAATCAATCAAGATGATTTATCAAGCAGAACTCTTTGTCATGTCTTGCTCTTCCTTTTTCACCTCTTACCTATCCACAAGATTCCCAGGGGCAGGTGTGTGAAGAATGGCTTAGGCCTCCGTGTAAAGGGGAGTTGGAGATGGGATGTGGAACACAGCACAATTTCCCATTCCAGTACCTGTGGGAAAGGTACCACTGATTAGCTGTGGCACTTTCCCAGGAGGGCTCAACTTAGGCTCTTCAATCCAAGATTCCAAGAAGCCATTACCAAATAATTCGAGGAGGCATATAATGTGTATCTTGTTTGTCTCTCTGAAATAAAAGAAATCTTCTGGAGTCCCTACACCCTCAATTTATAGGCCCTAGATATTTCTAATTTAAAAAAAACACAAACATAGGTGGAAACTAATACCTGCACGCTAACCCAAATGAGTGTCAGAGTTTATACCCTTCACACAGAGGAGACCCCACATCCAGTTTCTATACCTCCCCTAAGTTTGCCTATCTCTGTCTTCCATCCTGAGACCTCAGACCTTCAGGCCTCCAGGCCTCTGGCCAGGTCTGCGTATGGCTCCTGGACTCTGAGTTTGGGAGGAGTCATGAAAGAATGGATGGTGTCCCTGCTTCAGAAACACCAGGAAAGTGTCCAGTGTAGACTCATCCTAAATCAGACAGACCTGGATTTGAATCCTGGCTCTGACTCTTAACAGCTATGCAGCAACTGGCAGATTACTTACCTATGCCCATTCTGTTTCTCCCTGGATAAAATGGGAATAGTATGCTTTATAGGGTGGTTATGAAAATTAAATAAAAATAGGGATGAATTGCATAAAGAGTCTACTAAGCATAAAGAGTATTAGAACTGCAAGTGATTGCTTACTAAGGGACTCTCAGAGGGCAAGGATGGAAAAGGGGATTTGAGTTTCTCCCCTGGAAACTCCTGAACAAAGCTGTAGGTCTGAAGGAGAACAGCCAAGTTCAGCCTTCTATCCTCAGGGGCTCAGTCCCTACTCGGGCCGGCAGAGCTGGTTTCTGGGCACCATCTCACATTCCAATCACATATTCGTGACTTCTAAAAATCTGCCACATCCTGTAGCAGAGTCTCAGACCACAAGTGGCTCACTTCTCTCCCCCAGAGCTAGGTGATATGCTCCTTCTTTGCTCCTACCCCCTTCCTTGTCTGGGCAGGCGCCTTTCTTGGCCAAGCCTGGGACAGTCAGAGTGGTCATCAGTGACCTGTGGGTTGCTAAGGCCCAGCAGGCCTGGCTAGCCACAAAGAGAGAACCCAATAACCTCCCTGCATAAGAAGGGCAAATTGAGGCAGCATGTGACCTTCACCCCCATTCCCCACTGGAGGACTCCTTGGTAGGCTCCGTGTTCTGACAACAGGCTTGTCCCTCCCTCCCTTATAGCCAATCATCTGCATGTTTTCATTAGTTGATCATGTGACCTGGAATTTAGATTATTCTTTTTTAAAAAACTTGTATTTGTTATTTTTAGATATTCATGACAGTAGAGTGTATTTTGACATATTATACCCACGGGGAGTATAACTTATTCTAACTAGTATCCCATTCTTGCAGTTGTACATGGTATAGTTTTACTGGTCCTCTATGAACATAGGAAAGTTATGTCTGATTCATTCTACTGTCTTTCCTATTCTAATCCTCCCTCCCTTCCCTTCATCCCCCTTTGTCTAATCCAATGAACTTCTATTCTTCCCTCCCCCCGAGATTATTTTTATTGATAACTAACCTGAATCAAAATGTTCCAGATGTGGTAGACAAGCACTGGAAAAACAGAACGTTGAGTCACGTGCTCCTGAAAGTTTTCTTTGAATCTGGTCTCCTTTGGTTTATCCTTTCTATGTCTATGATGTCATAAGGCTATGACATCATTTCAGTGCCAACTAGAATAGCCCAGAATAATACAATTAATTGTACATGTGTCTAATTGCAGTTGTCAATCAGTCTACAATTCTAGCAGAAGACCTGATGTTTTGAGTCATGGCTGAAAGAACAAACCTGTGCTTGGCCATGTACTTCATGTTGGCTGGCTACTTAGAATTTTTTTTCTTTTTTGAGAACTGAGCTACTTTTCCCACTGAGCTACATTGCCAGGCCTTTTTATTATTTTATTTTGAGATAGAGTTTCACTGAGTTGCTGAGGCTGGACTCAAACTTGTGATCCTCCTGCCAATGTACCTGGCTAGAACATTTTTTGACTTAAAAATCTTAGTTGTGCCACAAATAATTAAGGATCACTTGCTGATAGCCAGGCACCTATTATTTTATCGAAAGTCAGAGGAACAGAAGTGTTCCAAAGTACTACTGTATACAAGACACTGTGCAAGGCTGTTCGTGATATCTCCTCACCTACAATAGCTATCAGCCCCATTTTACAGGTGAGGAAACTGAGGTTATATAATTCAACGAAGGAACCAGGTCTTTGCCACATTGCATTCTTTTCAAACATAACCACAACCCTCTTTTATCTGCCCAGGGAAACAGGAGCTATACCATAGAATGTGGAGGTCTGTAGCTGCATATGTAACTACATCTACACGTTGATTTTGTCTTCCCTCTCTCTGCAGTGTATGCACACAAGCAGGAGCCCCCCCAGTATTCCCACACCTCCCGGTTTCCATCTGCGATGGTGGTCACAGACACCAGCAGCATCAGTACACTCACCAACATGTCTTCCAGTAAACAGGTAATGCCTGCGGGATGGGGCGGGCATGGGGGGGGGGGCGGATTCAGCCACTTCCGAGGCTCCTTTAGTTACTTGCTAAAAGAATTTCTGAGGTCACAGGCCAAAGGGGCCTGCATCCCTAACAAGAGCACTAAATGAGGACTGAAGTTTGCCAGGTCACTGGAGCCTGGATCACACAGAGCCATTAGGCCTTGAGATTGAGCACTCTGCAGTGGAATGGCAGAGGGTCATAGAAAAGGTGTTTCCATGCAGGACTCCGGAGATGGTCAGATCCTTTGTTGAGTTTCTTGCTTTGCAAAGGTGGTCAGTGGGGAAGGTGTGTGGTGCGTCAGGAATCCTGAAGCTCATCCCCCCCAGGCCAGGATCCACGTTAGACACAGACACTGGAAGCTCCAGGGAATGACCCAATTCTGCCATCCCATGGAGACTCCCCCAGTAGACAGTGTGGCCATTTCAGGGGTCTGCATTCAGTTGGTGTTTTATTGAGAAACTTAGAATCTACTTCCTGGTGTGCTACAAGTGGGGAATCCAGAGGCTTAGTCACTGCTCCAGTTGATGAGTAATTGCCACTTCCCCACAGAGGAGACGGACTAGTAAAGACAAGCAACCAACAGCAAGGCTCATGGCTGCAGCTCAGATAGCTGGACTGCAGCAGGGCCCTGTGGGTTAAAAAATAAGACGCCATATCTGCACACAGATGATGAGTCCAGAGTAACACAATAAGGCCTTTTAGTACCTGGGGTCTGAGCAGTGTGGGAACTGTTTGGCCTTTATTGATTACTAGATAAGGAGGCGACAACCTTGAACTTCATGTCAGAGGGACTCTGCAGGATTCTGTCTAGTTGATGGTCTTTTTCCATCTGAGCCCAGCAGATCATACCTCATCCACTACCTTGTGCTTCTGAGATTCTTTCATGGGCTCAGCAATCCTTGCTCTTTACAGTGCCCCCATCTTCTAGGCCCAGAGTGAGGTGGARCAGATGGGTTCTATTTCTCATTCTGCCATTAACTACTCCTGTGAACTTGACCTCCCTGAGCCTTCAGTCTTCATGTTTAAAATGATGATGATTGTAACATCCTCTTGTTCCRAGGATTCAGTGAGGTCTCGTAGATTAAGTGCCTGGCACATTTTAAGTGCTGAAATAGACACATGGCCTGGGCAGCTGGGCTCTGGCATTGGGGGTGGAGGGAGAGGGGTGTGGGACCTGCTTTGCCACTGTTCTCTCACCCAATAGAAGATGAAAGGACAACCCCCACCCCACCCCGTTGCCCTGCCCTTCGACTCCTGTGCGATTTCCCACTCTTTGTAGTGAGCAGGGAAAACATTTATCTGTGCTCACAAATCTCAATCAGGAGGGCAGCCAGGCACAGCAGCCCTCCTTGGGAATACCTTCCCCTTTGAAAGGTTTATCAATCCATCTACCGCTTGGTCAGCCCTAGACAGGACTGTGATTAATTATTCCTGTCTTTCCCAAGTTGACTTTGATGCTTGCTTGTTGAAACGAGTCCTATGAATCCAGGAAATGGTCTCTTAATCAGAATGCTTTAAGATGCTCCCCAACATGCTGCTACCAGCGCCCAAGTGGCTTCTCTCCTCTATTGGACACGGTAGCCAGCCAACCTTGACACTGCGTGAGCCGCCTGTTAATGTACTATGAACTTGTCTCTGCATCCTCAGACAGTTCAGGAGTCTGGCAAGAGACTTGTTTTTTAATTATGAAGATGATTATTATACTCAGTAAGGAGGAAAAAAAACCCTCATGTAGAACTTTATAGTTTATATTTCTCATGACCACTCTATCATCATTTTCTTTTTATTGCAATCTAAGTACAAAGAAACCGAAGCTCAGAGATAGACCTGCCCAAGGTCACACACAGATTGTAAATTCTAGAGCTTGACCTCTGGACTTTGGTCTTTGACTCCAAATCCTGGACTCCTTCCATTTAAACAACATTTTGCCTTCCAATACTCATCTTTTTCTTTTTCTTTTTTTTTAACCTGCCCTGTTGAACCCAGTGCAGCTCTTCCACTGAGCCATATCCCTAGCCCTTTTAATGTTTTATTTTGAAACAGGGTTCCTCCAAGATGCTTAATGGGGGCTTGCTAAATTGCTGAGACTGGCCTCGAATTTGCAATCCTCCTGCCCCAGCCTCCCAAGTCATTGGCATTACAGGTGTGTGCCACCACACCCAACCCAATATCCCTTTAAAATTCCCATGGTAATTGTTACTTGCTCTGTTGTCTGTGGTGGTCAGGAACCAAAGTAAAAAATTAAGCTAAGTTCCAATCAGATAAATTTCTTCTTTCAAACCAAAGGACAAGGAAGAATAGAAAAGCAGAATGAAATAAAATGAGGTTCAAGTGCTACCTCCTGACAGCACAAAATATCCAAGGTGAAGACAGTTTTTACAAACTCTGTTCCTAGGGCAAAGACGTCACAAGTGAGTTGCCAAAGAGTCCTGGTAGCAATTTTTCTTTTTTTTAAACTATTTTTTTCCAAGAGGGATTTTAAAACCATTGCTAGGTGTCAGGAGGCATATGAGGTGAAGGGAGAGAGTTTTTCTTGTTAAAATGTGTTGGGAGAACTTCTGGATTAAACATAGTTAAACACCTCAGGCAGGGCTTCTTGGAACATTTTGCTTGAGTGTAGAAGTGGGTCATTAGTGTGCACTGTGCTCAGGTCACAGGGACACACTCTGGGCAATGCTATTTTAGAGGCATGTGCAGTGGTAGGAAAAGCTGAGAGACCTAAATTAATCCCAGCTTCGTCCCCCTCTGCTATGTGACCTTGGGCAGTTAATTGCCCAGTGTAAGACTCAATTTCCTCATGTGTAAATGGGAGGAAATCCTACTCCCATCTCACAAAATATTCAAAGTGGAGCTCCTTCCCAATTCCTCTCCTGTCTGTATGTGATGCTTTCTGAAGGCTGRTGTCTTTCCTTGCACCGTTTCTTCAATATTGCACTCAGTGCTTGGTCTATGTGGTCAGAGGAGTTCTGACAGTAACAACCCAGATCCTGGACCTGGGCTCCTGATCCCTGTTTCCCATTCTGCTGACACACAGGTCCCCTCTCCACCAGCTCCTGGGAAAACAGCAAGTAGTCCAAGGGCTACTCAAAGCATCCAAGCCCTTTGTGTTCACCTAACTGCCTGGGCTAAAGTAGATATTCAGTAAATATGGATGGATGGATGGATGGATGGATGGATGGATGGATGGATGGATGGGTGGATGGATTCTGAATTAGTATATTTTGAATACCTTCCACTTTCCAAGCATCCCTCCAGGTATTTTTCTATCTTACCTTGTCTGGCTAACCCCCTACTCATCCTGCAAAGTAAATATTTGTATGCCTGATTTACAGAGCAGAAAATTGAGGTTCTGAGATGGGGAGGGTTCTGGACAAGTTTACATAGATGATAAATTCCAGAGTTGGACTTTTCATTCCAAATCCATTAACAACATTCACTTTCCAATGTCCATTTTTAAGCACCCATACTCAAGACCCAAAGATTATGCAAGTATAAGGCTAAAACCAGTCTGTGAACTTTTGTCTGTCTGACCCCCAGTACTTCCTGTTGTGAAGACAGGCATGCCCCCGGGGCCTTGGGGATCACGTTTCAGGAACCCCAGGCTGGCACTTTCTTCTGCCAAGAATCCTTCTGCAGTGAAGAGAGTTGGGAGGGAGGGTACAGCCACAGAGGTTTTATGGTGAGGCTGCCCACCTCTTTCTTGTCAGCACCCCTGACTAGTGACTGCTCTGGGGGCCTCTCTTGACCTCTCTATAAAGTAGGAAGCGAAGTAGTGGGTAGAGAAAGTTGTGGAAACAAGAGTCGGCTTACAGCCTGCCCACACTTGTCCTAACCAAGGTCAGTGCTTGCTGCGGTCTTATTTCCAGACCAGTGGGGCATTGTTATGCAAGTGCTCAGGCACAAACCCACTCAGAAAGCAACTTGCCAGCACCCACCACTTCAGGAGGAGGGGGAGACATATGCTCTGGGAAGGACAGATGGCAGGAGCTGCAGAAGGGGCGGGGCACAATGGTCCRGGGGCTAGGCACCAGCCCCAGAGTTAAGCAGATCCAGGCTCCAAATTCTATCACTTTCTACTTGTGTGACCTCAGGGAAATGGGTTAGCCTCTTGAACCTCATCTATAAAATGAAGGGAACGACACCTCTCTCATGGGATCATTGAAAGGACTGATTGTAAGAGGACTTAGAACGTATGTCACTGGGTGCCTGGCCCAAAGGAAACAAACAGTTCATGGAAGCTGGGTCACACTGGGATTCCCCCCATGGTGACCAAGAGGATTTCCAGAGCTTGGGAAGGAGGTTTTTAAATGGCAAAGGGCATTTTTGTYCCTGTTGTCACATGGAAGATAAAGGAGATGGTCTATATAATGGTTAGGAGCACGAGCTTTGCTGTCGTGAGAATCTGGGTACAGGTATTTACAATCTCTTTGGGTTGTACTTCTGTAAAATTGGAATTATAGTTTTTATTTTCAATTAATAGAGCAACACTTATAAGTTAATAATGATAGAAGTGGGTTATCTGTGTTAGCCTTTTCTCCTTCCTCGCCCTCCATTCTCTCTAGAGCCCATTGCAGACTGGCTTTTGACCCCATGTTCCCCTGTGTACTGCTCGTTCACACGGCCATGTTGCTAAGTCCAGCAGTTACTTTTCAGTACCTTTGACACAGCTAATCACTCCCCTCCTTTTCCCTGGATTTTAGGATGCCATCTTTCTGGTTCTCCTCCTACAGCTCCTTCTCATCTCCTTAAYTAGCAACTCATGTGTTGGAGAGAACAGGGCTCTTTCTTCAGCCTCTTCTTGTCTATGCCCACACCTGAGTGTCCTCCAGTCCCAGAACTTTGGAACAAGTGCATACACTGACAGTTCCTTAACTCAATTCTGCCCACAGAGGGTCCCTTGACAAATGCAATACCTTTGACAGGGACATGAACATGCCAAATATATCTGATATGCCTCTCAAACTGAACTCTCCATTTTACCCCTATCGGTCCCCACCCAAATTTCTTCCTCCTTGGGCTTCTCCATTTCCAAAAATTGTACCATTTGTTTATGTAAGATACCTGAGAATACTGTTSATACTTTTCTCCATGCCACACACCTGATCCATCAACAAGTGTTGCTGGGAATCCTTCAGAATGCATCCTAAATCTGGCCACTTCCCGCCACTCCCATTGGTACCATTCTAGTCCTAGTTCAGGCACTCCTTGTCTCCAACTAATCCCCTCAGAGGCCCCATCAGTAGCCAGAGTGATCTCTGTCTTTTTTGGGGGGCGGGGAGGGTACCAGGGATTGAACTCAGAGGCACTCAACCACTGAGCCACCTCCCCAGCCCTATTTTATGTTCGTTTTAGAGACAGGGTCTCACTAAGTTGCTTAAGGCCTTGCTTTTGCTGAGGCTGGCTTTGAACTTACGATCCTCCTGCCTCTGCCTCCCAAATCACTGGGCATGTGCCACCGCACCCAGCTCAGAGTGTTCTCTTAAAAAGAGAAATCAAGCATGTTCCTCCCCTGTCAAAGCTCCCCAATAGCTTTCCATTACAACACAAACTAAAATGAAGACTTACAAGGCTCTGCATGGTCAGACCACTGCTGGTATCCCCATTCTCTCTCCCTCAGCTTTAAGGGTACCAGGCTGAAGTGATCCCACTCTTTAATGTGCATCTTTATGTGCTTGCTCCTCCATTCAGCAATGTCATCAACTTGAATAGGCCTTTCCTAACCCCCTCCCCTAAATTATTCCCTTTTTCCTCAACTCACTTTAACCTCCCACCATGCTTATTTTACAACAAAGCACTTATCTCCACTTAAAGTTGATTGTGTAGGAAGATGTGTATATGCATTTACTTRTTTGTCATTCAAAACTCCCATTAGAACAGAAACTCTATGAAGTTGTGGGCAGACCTTGTCCACAGCTGCATCGCCTGACCCCTAAAAGTGCAAGTCCATGGCGGGCACCCAACAATGTGTCTAGTGAATGAATGGCAACCACCTACTTCAGAGGGTTGATGGGAGAGCTACTTTGCAATGTTGGGAATCAAGCCTAGGGCTMGATCATCCTGGACTAGTATTCTACCCTTGGGCTACACCCCCAGCCCACGATGGAAGAAATAATTGCAAGGATGTGTATGAAGCCCTGAGTGTGGCTCCCAGCCCAAGGAAGGACCACAGTCTGTGTAGCTGTTACCATCATGCAATGAACCTTCTCAARATGAGGGCCACTGCTACCCCATCCCAGGTGGATGGTCACTTAGGGATCTTATAGGGAGGCTCCTGGGGGGCTGGGTATGCTGGGCCTCTAGTACTAAGGGACCACAGTGCACCCCTTATCAGATGTTTGTGTTTAGACTCTGAAGGGGGCAAATAACTCTAGTTCCTTTGACAACATTTAGGGCTCTGCCACCATTTTATTATGTGAGCAAACACTTGATATCTGGGAAGCCCATCCCTAATGACAGGTCATAGAATCTCACTGGCGTCTCCTTATCTGCCCTTCTTGTTTGCTCTTCTATTGAAACCTGCAGGGTCACAAGCCATTTTCCCTCTCCTCTACCTGAAATCTGAAAATTGGAAAAAGGCTGATAGTGGGAAGTAAAGAAACTCAAGAGTGGGGGTGGGCAGAGGGAGAAAGAGAAGGCAAAGGGTATGAAGAGAACCCTGACCACGCCCTCAAGAATGTAGGAGGGACAGAAATCTGTCTCCTTACATGAATGCACAGCTCAGGCCCACTCTAAGAGCCCTCAAGAGCAGCATGGAGAGAAGCCCCCTGTGTAGGATTGTGCCAAGCACCATTTAGARGACTTCAGCTATATCAACCCATCCAAACCCACCACAGCCTTCATTTATATGGGAAGAAATTGAGGCAGAGAGGGAGTAACTTGACCAAAGCACAGCATAAGTAAGTAAAAGACTCCTAGTCCCATAAAGATCTCACACTGGGACTAGAGGTATAGCTCAGTTAGTAAAGTGCTTGCCTTGCATACAAAGGCCCTGGGTTCAATCCCCAGCACAAAAAAAAAAAAAAAAAAAAAAAAAAAATCTCACATTGGGAGATCATCCCGAACCCATTTGAGTCTCTGCACACTCTCTAATTTTCATAATCATTAGCTCTCTTTAAACCTTGTTTTTCTAATCTGTAGACAAAAATGGTAACCTCATATGGGGTTGTGGTTAGGAACACTGATTTATGAGATAATAATGGAATGATAGGCCTCTGGTAGTC